TTTAAATAGAATCAATTATTATATAAATACTTTAAATATTTCTAATTCCAAATCCGGTTTTATTTATATTATATATATTATCTAATTTATACTTTCATTTAATAAGATATATATAAAATATATCAAATCAAATCTGAATATTCTCCAAAATTGTTTTTTTAGTTCGATTAGATTCTAATTAATATAAATAATATATTTTAAATTCTAAATATCATTTTTGGAATCTATAGATTTATCTGTAGTTTATAAATGGAATTTCTATCAAAATAGGATTTTGAAATAATATAATCTGAATATATCGAAAACGAATTTCATTAGTTATTTCCTTTACTAATATAGATATAATAAGAAATCCAATAATAATAAATTATAAAATCTATTATATAAAAGTATTTTCTTTTATATTTAAAAAAATTTGAGTTATTTTATAGATTTGAGAATATATTTTCTTTCTAATTAATTTATCAATTAAAATAAACTTAAAGACTTCAAAATGCTTTATAGCTTTTCTAATTAATTTAAATTTTTTCAATTGAAATGAAATTATAGTCTTTTAAAGTTTCTCTTCAATTTAAATAAATATAATAAGTGATTGGGTATATATAATAAAAGTTATTACAATTTCAAGTTAATAATAAGCTAAAAGTATTTGAGTTCCTTATATATCCAAGTTCCCTATATATTATGTTAATAAAAGTTATTATAGTTTTAAGTTAATAATAGGCTAAAAGTATTCGAATTCCTTATATGTCCGAGTTCCCTATATGTTATGTTATCTTTTTATTAGAATTATAATATTAATAATAAAGTATTACTAATTTACTATTATTAAAAGAAATAAATATTCATTTAAAATACAAAGGAAAAAGAATTATAGTATATAAAAAATAAAAATAAAAATGTAATATTTAGTTTAATAAAAAGACTATTAATCAATAGAAAATACATAAAAGGCCTTTTATAATCTTAAGAATATATACGAAATGTTAAAAGAATATAATAAAAAGAAAGAATTATTAATATAAAATTCAAAAAGAAAAAAGAGAAAGTTTATAAAGCAATAGAATTATATTATATATCTATTTATAAAATACTATTATTATAAATCTATTTGTATTACTTTTCATTTTATTATTTTTTATTTTAATAAAAATAAGCATGTACTTTTCTATTTATAGATATACTATATATTATTATTAGATATATTAATTCTTTTTATTACTATTTAAATACTTTAGACTTTAATTTATAAGTTTCGGAATTAATATTAATTGATTCCTTATTGATATTAGATTAATAAGATTAATATTAATCTTTATATAATACTTTATTCTTTATAAAAATATATTTACAATTAATATAGAGATATTATTATAAAAATATTATTATATTAATATATCAAAATAGTTTTATAATTCTAAAAATTTAAAGAATTTGATATAAAGAAAAAAATATTAAAAAGTATAATACTTATATTATTATTATTCTATATATTTATATTTATTAAAAGCAAATCTATTTCGTTTTTATTATTTTTCTCTTTTACTTTTTCAAGAATCTCAGAAACAAATCGATTTTTTGGCAGCTGGTTTATAATAACCTATTATCTTTTATAAAACTAATTTGTATCAAAATCTTTTTATTAAAATCTTTTAAGTAAGCTTATTTGATTATTTAATTCTTTAATATAAACTTTTTGATTTTGACTAGAAACCTTAAAAGTCGAAGAGTTTCTAGAAAAGCTTATACTTTAATAATTAGATATAAATAAATTATAAGAAAAGAATAATAAAAGCTTTTTCTTAAGAATTATTGAAAAGATTATATAAATAGAAAAAGAATTAATGAATTTAAAGATTGATATTATAATTATAAAATAATAGGGTATAGTTAATGTAATAATAGGAATATTATTATAAAATAAAATTATAAACTTTTTGATACCCGTTTTGGAGATATTAATAGTAATTTATTATAAATCACTAGAAAATTTAATAAAGAATTATAGTATCTTTATTATTATCATTATTATTATTATCTTTATTATAATTAAAAGAAGAAAAAGATTCATTAAGATATTTTAATCTATTTTTCTTATATATAATAAAATCAATTCGAATTTCAGATTAAACCAATAATTCATAAGCAGTTCGAGAAAGTTTACAATTTATTAAATTAGTGGTTATATTTATTCTAATAGATTTAAGTATAATAAAAAGAGCTATAGAATTAGAAGGAATCATAGGATTAGAAAAGGTAATAGGATTAAAAGAAATAACTAGTAATATAATAATGGTAACTATATAGGGATAAATAATAGAAACTAGAAATTTATTTTCTTTATTTGAATTTATTACAACCACAAGATTTATAATGAAATTCGATATAATAATATTTAATATAAACAAAATATTTTGGAATTATAATATATTAGCTAAATAATTATAAGGATAACAACGAGTAATCGATTATATATCAATAAGAGTCTATAAAATATTCTATAAGATTACTAATTCTGTCTAACTTGATTATAATAAAAAGATCTAATTTGTTTATTGATTTAAGATTATAAGCATTATTCTATTTAGTCTCTTTATATAAGAAGACTTTCATATTCTTAATATAGTATTCCTTTTAACAAATCAATACTATCTCGGAATTAGCTTTTTTAATACTCTAAGCTATTATTATAATATAATAAGAATAAGTTTAATATAAAAACTTAATATTGGAGATATAGTAATCTAATATTAATATATAGGATTTCTTTTGAGTATAGTAATACTTCTAGAGAGTATAAGGATTTTTATTGAATTAATAAAAACCCTGAATAGAGTTAATATAAATATATTTAAAATAATAAAAACAAAGAGAAATAATTAATTCCATAGAATTAATAGTTAATTGAAATATAATAGCTATTATATTAATAAATTGAGGGGTAATTATAATCAAAGATAAATAAAAAAAGAATTCGAATAATCTATAAGGAAAATATATTTAAATGAATATTAGAAATTTATAAAACAATTAATAATCTGTTAATAAGGTGATGAAATATATAAAACTGTTGAAATACTGTTTATTGATTATTTATAGTATATAAATATTATAATTTTTTTTAGAATAAAATATAGATATAACTTCTTAGTAATACAACTTTTTATACTATCTGATCTAAATCGAAATGTAAATATATATATTTTAAAATATGATATACAAAAAGGGAAGCTTTATTATAATCAAATCTTAAAAGGCTAATCGAAGTATATAAGTAAGTTCTGTGGATCTATCTCGAGTCAATATTAGTCTACACATAATTATAAGTTATAGAATTTTTATAATTTAGAGGAATTAATAAAAAGTCTTAATTTTATATAACATCTAGTTGATTTATTACTATTATTTAATCTAATAGTATTATAGAGATATTTATATTATAATATAAAGACTTAGTATTATAATCTCCGGAAACGATATTATAAATATTATAAGAATTAGGGTTAACTAGAAATAAGAGTAATTATATAAGTAATCAATAAATATAAAAAGATAAATACTTATCTTTATTAATATCTACTTTATAATAAACATAGATTAATTAGTAATTATAGATTAGCTAGTAAGTATAAATTAGATAAATAATAGCTTTATAGGATTATAAGAAAGGAGATTATATAATTAGGAAATCAATTTATTGAAATCGGCTTTATAATAATCGATTTGTTGATATTCGACTTATTAATTTATAAAGTAGGAAGGTTTATATAAAGGAATAAGTTTTATTATAATATAAAGTTTTATACTTAAAAATAATTATTAGTTTTATTATTATAATTATAAGAATTATAACTAATTATAATCACTTTGAATCCCTACTTGAAGTCTAGTCTAAACTATTTCGAGAGATTTCTAGTTACTTCTATATAACCCTAGAGATAGCTCCTATAATATAAAATATAAATACTTCAAGTTTGAATAATTATAAATTTATAAATCTATTGAAATTTTTATCTATTTTTATTGTTAAATATTTTATATACTTTATCTAAACATTTCTAACTTATTAACTTTGAAGATTATTATTACATCGTTGTTGCCCTTTTGTTTTGTAGAGAGCCTCTGTCATGGGGTCGACTCTGGGTCGACACGTGACCGATTAGATAAGCGATACTAGTCCAATAGGGCTAGCTTGCTATGAAAATTCTGTATATCTTCAATATGGAAGATCCTGTATCGTAGCTCTTTGAGCTACGTCTTAATCTTAAATCTGACCCTGCTATAACTTTGCCATATTCGGCAAAGTTATCAATTGCTTCCAAATCTAAATCCCCTGCCTGTCGCTCCGTGATAGCCTCCTTTCAACTTATATTAGGGCCATTTGACTTGCGATACCACTATTAAGCTCTTTTCCTTAATCAATCTACAAAACCATCAGATATAGATCTCCGAGTGTGATCACGATAGTAAAAGTTTATTCTCAGTATTGTAGCGGCTACAGACAGCCATGGTACACGCCATCGCCACATAGGCTGATACCTCCTTCAGGCAAGCGATCAAGGATCTTGGTCAGTGGCGGTGTGGCTATAGTAACCTCGGTAGGAATTAGTGGCTGACAAAGGTGTGGCTGCGAGTCTGTACCTTGCCGAAACATTCCCGTTTCTCGACATCCTCCGATAAGAGCAAAACGGTGGCCTTGTGCACAGCTCCAAAAGACAGATCAAGAGAAACACATCATTTTGATGCCTCGCAACCACGAACACTGATGTCCCAGCAAGCATTTCTCATCTCTATACTGGAGGCCAAATACACATGGTGCCTGGCGAGCAATACAAAGCTGTCAACGGATAGACCAATTGTTAAACACAATGTCATTATCAACTCACCGACAACATGTACAACATGAAAATCTTATGAAGAATTGCTATCATTGGGCTTATAACCCTTGTTTTATACCTGAATTTACAAACATGAAAGCTTTCATATCTTCATGCAAATTCCTACGCAATGTTTGCAGCTTCTGAGGTGGGCGCATCACTGGGCTCACCAGCGACACCTTCAGTACGGTCTCCAACACACGCAACATCAGCGTATTTTTCTAAAAAGTCCCCAGCATACTCCAAAAGAATCATTCTCTCGGTTCTTACATCATCATCCTGAATAAGTCGGGAAACGGAGTATACTGCAAAGCACAGGGTTAATGTGATCAAATAGAAGATCAGCACATTTCTGCTGTCGTCTTTCCCAGTGTCTACGTCAAGGTGTCGAGTCCAGACAAAGCCGAAATACATTCCAAGCGCAAGTAGTAAAGAGAGAAGTGAGGCTGATAGAAGAATCTGCGGTGCTGATATCGTGATGACGGATACTATACTTGGAGTAAAGCACTGCTCTATGATATCGGGCGATAAATTTCCTCTGCTCGATGCTAGTGTAATATAGTCAGTTGGATCGCCTCGAAATTTATGTGATCTTTTGATTTGCCAAAGAGAATCGCCTCTCTGTGCAGAAACTCTGCCTCGAATCCAACCTCGTACTTGTTTCGCCTGTAGTAGTCGTCCCATCACTCGTTGTTGAGTGGAAGCATAGTATACTGCTATTAATGAGGATATGATGCTGAAAACAAAGGATGCCTTTACAATCCAGTGTGTCTGACTGAGATTGTCCAAGGATAAACCGGTAATTGCAATCTGAGCTACGATAGCTGCCTGTAATAACAATGAGGGTCAGTATAGTACCAACCCAATTAACTTCCTACGGTTTTCTGTATGGAGGAACGTACCGCTACAGATATCATAGTGCACTCGTCCTGGACCGACTTCTTGAAATTGAGTGCATCGTCGTCGCTCACAGTCCCAAGCACGTGTGCTTCAGTACGCCAGGTCGTTCGACTACCGAACAAGTATAAGAAGATTCCAAATACCCCGTATAAGTCAACAAGATCTATTGGGCGACGGATAGTTTGCGTGAAGATCTGTACAACAGTGACGACACTCGAGACTAACGAGAGTGGGTCCATCGCTCCGCTAGCTTAGTCTGAGACGATCTGTACGATTGATGATAGATCCAGGAGGGTTCTTTGTACGCTGGACTCAAGTCAAGGAAATCGTCGTTGCTATTGTTGAGGTTCTTGTTGCGTTGGGTAGGGCGGTGCAGCAGAGGGAAGCAGCGCTACGATGCATCTGCGTCCAATTCCCGAGCTATCAAACTTGGGCTATAATGTCCCTCCGTCGCAGCGCAACTTTCGTAACTTCTATGGAGGTCGCGGTCAAAAACTGACTGGCTCTATCCAATTTATCGTCGCGATGATAATGTGGAAGGAGATGAGAGCGCGCTCTCCTGGGCCCAGGCACCAGCGCTCCTGCGCACCTAACGCATGGAATGTTCGAGAAGCATGTTACTACGCCACACGTGTGACATTCTAAGCCACGCACGGAATTATGCTTGAAAATCGTGGCTAGGGGAAAAGATATATATAGATCGGCTGTGAACGTAATAACTTGTATCTCGGCTAATGTATATTACTAAGCAGTGAAACATGTCGATCCTTTTGCTGTACTGGTGTAACGTCCGGACTATATGCTTTACCTCTCTGAGTATCTTTAAAATTTAGAACCATGTTATTTCGTGATAGGAACTTTACCTAAGTGCTTCGAATTTACAAAAGACTCTAAACTTCGAAACAAACAGGGGGATATAGCAGAAGCGGCGATCGGTGGGGTGAGTAGAATGGTCAATAGTATAATCAGCTATATTCTTTTTTCTTTGGCAAAATGGTCTGCTTAGGGATAAATACTTAAAGAAAATGAGATATAAATAACGCCTTTGTAGACTTGCCCCAGAAAATTTCCAATTCAGAAATTCATAGATGTGTCTTGTGACAGGGGGCGTCTCATGTTACGGGAGCTGCCTTTAGGGTTATGTGGAAGTTGTCACGAATCGTATTCAAATCGCTGGCGCTCACTCACATACGCATAGCCGCACATAACCGATCACGTATACATAGCTAGCACATATAGTTCCAATCGAAGCTCTTCAGGCTTTTTTCCTTAATTGTAAATTCTAAGAATTGATTGTATCTGTTTTTACAGCTCTTTAAAGCAATCGGTTATATTATTTACAATTTATTTAAAATCGCTTAACTATTTGGATTAATTCTTAATATAAAGAATATAGAGATTATAATATATTTAATAGCATTTTTATTTAGATTTACCAAGAATATTACTATTATTACTTTTATTAGTTTTTAGATATATTTATTTAGTTTATTATTGTTTTACTTATATTTTCGAAAAGAATATTTTTTAAAGAGATTTATATTTATATATATAATTGAAACCTTAATTAAAGGTTTATTAATTATAGATATTAAATTTAGTATCTCTATTTCTTTTATTTCTAAAAATAGAATTAATTTTATAGAAAAATTAATCTTAATAATATTCTTTTTATTATCTTTATTGAATTATTGAATACTATCAATTTTGAGTATATTAAGAATTATAACTTTTAAGTATTCAAAGATAATAATATTTTATAATAATTTAAATAAGGATTTTTGTATCTCTTATATTTTATAAAATCTCCCTTTTAATTTTCTATTAAAAATGATATTTTTTATATCTTAAGATTCTAATATAAAGTTTTTTATTCTCAGATCTAGATTTCCCCCTCTTTTGGATTTATTTATAGTTATTTGATTTGCTTATATAATATAATCTAACTTTAATAAATATATTCTAATATATCTATTGATTATATATAAGTATTTTATAAAGATATTTATTTAGACTATATTTTATAATTTATTGTATTATTAATTTTTTAGAATTATCTTTGGATTAATATATATATAATATTTATTTTCTTATATTCTATAATAATTAATATTTAGAATTAATTCTATAAATATTTTGATTAAACTAATAATAATATTATTAATAATTAATTTAGTGTTTATTCTATTTCTATAATATATATTATATTTGATAGTTTTATTCTAGAATTCTAATAGTAATTTAGTTTTTTTTAGTATAATTCTTATATTAGCTTTAGTAATATCAATATTTCTTTTAACAACTTTATTTTGATAAGATAATACTATAGTGATTAATTTTGATTAAGTTTTAGAGTTTTATTTTTTAATAGTTTAAATTCATTCTAATATATTATTAATTTGAGTAATTAATATCTTATTACTAATATTAAATTCTAATTCAGTTTTCTATTTCTTCAATTTTAATATAACTTTATCTTTTATCTTTAAAATCAAAATCTAATTTATTTTTATTCAATTATTTATAATTAATAGAAAATAATAATTTTATTATAAGGATTTTGGAAATAAATCAATAATATTGAAATAAATAAATTCTAATCTTTTTGTTTTATAAAAACTGAATTATTTTAGAATTAGATTCTTTATTTTAATAAATATATAAACTTTATATATAAAAACCTTAAATAAAACTTTAATTAGCTTTCTTAATATAATAATTTTATAAAGATTTTATATTTTTTTGAATTAAGATAATTGAATTGTTTATATTATAATAAATAATTTTCTAGATCCTTAAATTTATTTAAAAAGGTTTTTATTATAATCTTATTCGATTCTATATTATTAATAATCTTTATACTTTAAAAAGTAATATCTTTATATCCTTTTATAATATTCAAGATTATATAAATTTCTCTATTCATTTTTACTTTAATAATATTTATTTCATTTTTTCGAAAATATATATAATCTGAATTAAATCTATTCTTGAATTTAGCTTTATAAATCTTCTTATTAGAAAGAAGATTAACTTCTAATCCCAATATATATAATTTTTTTGAAAATAAAATTATATCTTTGTTTTCTAGTTTTATTATAATAATATTTATTCAATTATAATATATAACTTTCTTATTAATTTTTATTATCTTTCTCTTTATTTTCTTGATATTTTTAAAGAGGGAAAATTGATTAGATATATATAAGAAAGTATTAATATCTATATATTAATAAGAAGAAATAGTTTTATAAATAAATTTCTTAGAAATATAGTATTTTTTATTATTAGATTCTTTTTCACTTTTCAATAAATCAAAATCGATTAAAAGATTTTTGCTATCTATAAAATAAATATAATTATTTCTTTACTTAATAAATAATATTTTAATTATCTTTTTAAATATTACTTTTTATTACTTAGCTTTATAGTAATTATAGATTAGAGTTTATACAAATATAAAATCTTTATAATTATATAAAAAATATTCTTTTTGTTTATAAAAATAATAAATATAGATTTTGACTTTATTATTTTAATCTTGCTTTATAAATAGACTTAATTCTTTATATTCTTTTTATTATTTTAGGATTATATACTTTCCACTAGCAATATAACTTTATTCTATTTTCTGAATATTGAGTTTTTTAACTATAAGATATTTAATTTTATCTTTTATTATTAATATGCTTTAAATATTTATAATATTAATTATTATTTGAAATTTATTTGAAAGATTTCTAATTAGAATTAAAAATAAAACTTTGTTTTTATATAAATCCTTGAATAGTTAGTAATATTAAACTTATATTAATATTCTTTCAATTTATTTTAGGTTTTAATAATAATTATTTCTGGATGACTAATAGGCTTGAAAATGAATGTTTGGATTATTATTAAATATAAATTAATTATAATATTACTAGTTTTTAAATACTTTGATTTCAAATAATTCTATAATATTTATACTATATTATATTTATTAATAAGTACTTTATTATTGTTATTGAATAATTTATACATATATAATAATATACTAGCTTTATTTTTTAAATATTTAGTCTTTTTATTTAGATTAAGCCTAATATTTATAACTTTGTTTTTTTCAAAAATCAGAAAAACTTTGATACTGTGACGATCCGGCCTCAGGCTAAGATTAGTCATTCATTTGCCCCACCTGGTAGGGCAAATCTCGCTTCGCTTTAATCCCCTTTTGGTTCTCTTTTAATCCCTTTCTAATTCTTTTTAGGTTTATAAAAGTTTTTTATAGGTTTATTTTTTGTATAATAGTTTGTTATTTTCTAGTTATAATAATTGATTCTTTTTTATTATATTTTGAATCTATTATTATTATATTATAATAAACTCTTAATACTTTTGTAAAGAATAGAATATTTTTTTGAGAAGGTCAAAATATTTATTTATAGTTATATTTATTTGAGTTATTGAATTATTTGTAAAGAATAGAATATTGGTTTATATTATATATTCTTTTTGAGTTTCTGAATATGTTATATTTTTGAGTTTTTGAATAAAAAAGATATTATGTTTAAGTTATATTTTTGAGGTTATTAAATAAAGAAGTGGAAATTTTTTATATTTAAAAAACAAAATTCTTTTTGTTTTTTTTGATATAGAATATTTTTTTATAGAATTCAATTATTATAAGGCTAAACTTTTAATGAAAATCTAGATTCAAATTAATAATTATAATAAGAATCTAATAGTATTTCAAATATTGAAGGCGAAGAAATAGAATTTAATTAATTTGATTCTTTTGTTTTCCTATTTCTTAATTTATTAAGATAAGATATTATGAATATTGTAAATACTAATAATATAATTATAATAAATAGTATTTGAGAAATACTAAAATCAAGAATATATAGTAAAAGTTGCTATTATATATGAGTAATAATTAAATAGATTATGAAATTGAATCTATTAGGATTTTATTTATAGTAAAAAGATGTTTTCGAAAATCCTGTAGGAATTATTCTTTTAATTAAGATATGTAATAGCTTTGTAGTTTTTTTAGTTAATAAAGTTAGATTAAGTGTTAGGGTGAAAGATTTAGAATTCTTGGATGATAGGGTTAATTCTATATTCGAAGTATAGAGATTGTTTGTTGAAGATAAACTTTTGGATAATATCGATCATTATTTGAATAAAGATTTATAAGTAAGAGTAATCTTTTAATGAATTATTAGTGAGGTATAAAGGTATTTAAAGCTTAAAA